TAAAATATTTATTAAATTTAAAGGAAATATTCATACTACTAATCAATTAGCTAAAAATACTTATATACTATTAAACACTTATAAATATTATGAAATAAAGAATACATACATATATGAWATGTAGAAATCATATGTATTTTTTTGAAATTTAATAATATACAGATAAGAAACACAAGGTGTGGATTTAACTAATAGGACTTATCAGCTTAGAGTTTTTGTTGTACATTTCATTTCAAACATTTAATACAACTGTTATGATTAGATAGAGTATGGGAAAGCGAAAAGTTGGTCAATCATGAACTTTAATTTCGTAGGTCTTAGTCCAGTTTCACATAAGAAATTACACAAAAGTGTTTTCTGTTGTAATTATTATGCTGTTTTAGGTAATTGTTACTCATACAAAGTTCATAAAGAGCTTGCAAAAGAAAGAGAGAAATAAGATTTGATATGAAATAACTTTACCTCTTACTTTCAAATGTATGCACAATTTGTCGCTTTTCTTGTGGACTCACACCGTTTCAGGTCTCACTCCTTGTCCACCTTCGATTGTCTATTGGTAAATAATAGGTAATCGAGCTAGAGACGGATGACATTTTTTAATTAAAGTCTGTTTGGTTTGCGACTTTCCAATTGAAATGACAGCTGCTGCTTTTTTTTCTTCAATCTATTGGATTTCGTTTTGCGCCGTGTGTTGTTTGCCTTGATTGTGTTGGCTTCTGGTATTGTTTTAATTAAATTTGTCCCGTGGTAACTCAAATCTTCCGTGAACTCTATAAAGCTCACATTAAATTGAGAATCGAACTCCGCCAACGGCGCAGAGGCCCAGCGGGTGGAGCCAATTGACTGGCAGCAGCGAGACGGGGTGTCCGGCTTTATTACAAACTCGCGCGCAAATTTATGCGAAAGCGATTAGAGGTCCATAAAACGTTGATTTTGATGGGCAGCATCGCCGGAAGTTGGAGCGGCGCCCGCTGATTTCAGTGGCTCGCGCTCCTCCCGTCGTGCGTCCGGCTGCTCCTCGCATGTGCACGCTAATAAAAAGCCGTTGCGTGTGCCACATTGTGTGTGTGTGTGTGTGTGTGTGTGTGTGTGTGTGTGTGTGTGTATGAGTGTATTGGTACTTAAAGGATTTGGCCTAATGCCCAGTGCCTGTTTTATGCTGCTAATGCGCCATAGCCATTTTCGAATAGACATAAAAAAAGTGTAGCCCTGCGTTCTGGCCAAACTGCTCATGAAGTGGGTCGCATCAGATTCACAGCGGGACAAATCGAAAGTAAAGCGTGCAATCTGAGGCTTTAAGCTCAGTGTCTAGACACAAAATTTTTTATTGCAGTTACAGAGGCGAGAAGCCAGTTGGATTTTTATAATTTCAATGACTAAAATTTACAAAATGTTTGAAGCCTCGATAACGATAACGGAGAAAGGGGCTAATGCAATGATTTATTGAATCGAATTGAGGAATGGAAATGGGGAAAATGTGTGTATGATTTATGAGCCGTTATATAGCAGCACGTATGCGGATTAAACTCAAAGTAATATCAACTTTTTGCATACTAATAAATCTTTTTTTTTTCCGCCAATTTAATATATCTGGGGCATCTCGAAGCTCTTTTATGACTCAAGCTTAATTGCCGAGATGAGAAAATGATAAAAATCAAAATATGAGA